CAAAGGCTGAGTTGTGCCTTCCGGCCAGTATCTCCCCTACTGGGACCCAGGCCCATAGCCACAGTGGGGCAGTTAGGGGCAGTGCCAGTTTGGTGTGAGAGCCAGTTTGGCATAGTGGTTAAGTGCACGGACTCTGATCTGGGAGAACCGGGTTTGATCCCCCACTCCTCCTCCACTTACACCTGCTGGATGACCTTGGGCAAGCCGTAGTTCTGATAAGAGCTCTCTCAGCCCCAGCTACCTCACAGGGGGCCTGTTGTGGGGCGGGGGAAGGAGAGGAGTTTGTAAGCCGCTCTGAGACTCCGAGCGAAGGGCGGGGAATAAATCCAATCTCCTCTTCTAATGGCCCATGCCCCACAACTTCCTCTGCCCCTGCTCTTACCTGCCAGCTGCACTCATTTGCTTTGGCTGCCACAGGAGAAGGAGAGCCAGCCGGTGCGATTAATACCGGGCGAGGATGCACTCCCTGCTGCTCTCCTTCTTCTGTAGCGGCCAGGGTGAAGGAGTGCGGCCAGCAGGTAAGGAAAGACCCTTCTCTTCTCCACCTGCCTGCCTGCTGATGGGATCTCCCCCCACTCCCGCGCCCCCCACCCCAGATTTCCCAAAATCTTCTGGCTGCACCCCTGCTGGGACCCAAAAGCTGCTCTCTGCCAAAGGTGTGCCCTTTTCTGGTCAGTGGTTGGGGAGCTGGCAGCGGTGCTCTCTTGGACACCGCTGCAGTGGTGCATTCCCTCAGCACTCCCCCAGTATCTGCCTCTCTCTTGCCAGGCCAACATTCCCTGAGCCCTCGGGCACGCTGCCAGGGGGGTGTCTCTGAGCTGCAGGGGCAGGAGGCGATGCAAGAGGAAGGCTGTGGGGGCAAAGCTCCGAGGTGCACGTCTGCTCCACCTTTGTCCCTCCAGGGGGCACATCATGGCCTTCCGGGGCAGGGGCCGGTCGGCTGGCTGGCTGGCGGGTGGTGCGCTTCCCTCCTTCCCACCATTTCTGTGTCCCGCTGGAGGGGAGGGGCCGGCCAGAAGGCCCGTGGTGGAGGCGGAGCTTCTCTGCCACTCCTGGAGCAGGTATCAAAGGTCACCCCAAGTACGTGACAGCCAGCAGGTAGGCACACCTGCCCATAGGTAAACGAAACACACCCACAGGCTGGTGCTTGTTATTCCTCAAAAATGCCAATGGGGGAAACGGAGAGAGACGAAGGGGGACCTACACTCTCCCTGTGACTTTTGCCACCAAAGGACATCCGAATTAACTGCCCTCTCAGGCCCTTATAGCGGAGGAGGAGGAGGAGGAGGAGGAGGAGGAGGAAGAAGCCACCAGTCTGAGTAGCCTTGGAAGTGCTCTGAAGCAGGCCAGAGAGAGTTTCTTCTGTGTTCCGGTTTGAACTGAGCCGTAGAATATGACATTGGTCAATGTGAGATTTGCTATTGAGCTGGGGCCACTGCCTCATTTTAGTCCCATTTTGAGCCCAACCTACACAAATATTGTGCATGTGCAACATTTGGGTTACAATAAGTGCTTTGGGAGCCGCTTTTGCCTGCAAAGTGGGATGGAAGTATGATCAGCTAATCAAACTATGGGGCCATAAAAACGGGGGGGGGGGGGGGGAGAAGCATGTAGAATGTTCAAGTGGCATGTTGTGTGGGAGACCGGCTGCCAGAGCTCCGGGTGTTTGCTTCAAAGTAGGGGGGGGACTTGGTGGGGCAGAGCTCACTGATGAGGGGGCGTGGCCCCAAAATGCCCCACCACAGCTGGGCACCTGGGGAAAGGGCGGCTCCTTCTCCCTGGGCCATTTCCCCAATTGAAATCCTTCCCTGAGCAGCCACTCTCAGCCACCCTGGGGCAGATAAATTGGCATATCCCTCCCCATCTCTAAAAGCAGCTGTGTGGGGTGGGGTGGGGTGGGGGGAATCCCCCTCTCTCAGG